CAGTGATTTTATAAGATGTCCTGATGTTAAACGTTTGAAAAGTTTTATATTATGTATGAGAAAACAAGTTTAAGAGGATAAAAGTAAAGAATGAAAATTACATTGATTTCTCTGCCTATAAGCACTGAACAGTAATTTTAGATAATTTCAGTCTGCTTTAGCACATTACTGACTTAATCTTCAATCTTATAGAATAGTCATATTGTCTTTCCCTACCAGCACTTCACTTTAGTCTGACCTGAAACTTCATCAGCTGCATCTTATAGGCCATGTGACACAGCGCAACTGCAGTTAAACTATAAAATCCCAGATAAGCAAGTTAAACAAAGGCACTATTATGACTGTAGGACAATTTTAAATGGGACAGTCATACCAATCAAAATACCACCTGTGCTCATCTCAAATTTTTATAAAATAACTGTATGCACAATTTAGCACAACGCGGCCCTTCCCTTAGATGTTTCACTCCCTGTCAGCTGGCTGAAAGAAACTTAATTTCTCCTTTGCTTTCAATTACAGCATATTTGATACACATTTATTCATAAAACAATGGACAGTCGTGTTGAATAAAACCAGAGGTGCTTTTAAGCACTATTAAGGTCATACTGTGACTACAGCTGGCCAGCCATGAGCAGAACATCTGTTAAGCAGTCTGCTGACTGATTTACCAGACAGCTTCTATTTCTACTGAAACTCATGATTGAGCAGAGACTAAAAACACATACCCTTAAAACTACTATTAAATTAAGTTGGTTTTTATTCTATATTTCGGCTTAAAGGTATAGTGGAGGATTTTCGTAATTTTTTTAAAACACCTGCGCTCTCCACTTAAAAAAAAATGTACATGCACAACCCTGTACCCACTCCTGAGAGGGAACGCCTATTAAATGCGTGCGAGAGTGTGCACGAGCCCATTTCTCCTCGTGCACGCTCTGTTTCAAAGATGCTGTCTGCATCGCTCATACAAGCTTACTTTCCAAAAGAAGCTTTGCATTTTTTTTACTATTTCAGACTCACCATCGGTAAATGGGGACAAGCACGTAGGACGGCCTTATGTAAATGTATTACCAGAATGATTGACAATTAGGAGAACCACTTATTTTGAGGATCCACCTGGATAAAGAACATCCTCCAATATACATTTAAATCTAAGCATTAAAAAAAGTTCTACCTATTTTCTGGACTAAACACAGATCTGTCCCAAAGCACAAACTGGGGTATAAGACATCCAGGCCAACAGGGGGCTCTATTTATTATGTGAAACACATTATATTGGATTCAAGCTGTTTCTGATCAGTAGAGAAACTGAAGGAAATGCAGCTAATAGAGACATGACTTAAGACAATAATATTACATTAGACAAAAAACAATAAAATTTCACATAAAAAATTGTTTTAAATGCCAGGTTATAGGGTGTTTTTTAAGTTACTTTTAATCTCAACAAAGTCTTTATCCTAATTTATTGAATATGACAGTACATAGATTTCAGAACTTCACGTTTGCAGTTAAGTTGTGAGGAATGAGCCAGTTTTAGAATGTACCAATTTAATTCCAAGGTTAAAAGAATAATTAAAAAAAGATAGTTCTATAGAACTGAAACTGAAATATTTTCAGGGATTTAAGAACTAAAAAATCTAATCAATGTCCTTTAAATGTTGAAAAAAAAAAAAAAGTTCATACAATAACTTCACCAGTTTGATTGCTCATATCTGTGCTGGAGTCTCATTTTATAAACTATTTACCTATGAATTAAATTAAAAGGAAAGGAAAGATGGTCCTCTTTTCACAAATCTACATGGAAACATGTTACTTCAAAAAACAGATAAATAAATCAGACAGATAACTTTGCTTCTACAAGTTTGTTTACTTTTCTTTACAGTTTCATAAGATATAATGAAAACTGCAACAAAGGCCCCAAAACAAACCCTTATTAAACTCTGGGCTGGTTCTGAGCAAAAGAAAACAATCCAAACAACAGTATCTGAAAAAACTAAATGGGTTTTCAACACATTCGATATATTTTTATCATAATATCTTTGCCAATGATTTTAACCTAGTTTATGTTGTTGTTTTCCTTTTGGCAAAAACAAAAAACACATAAGATTTAGGAAGTTTTACCATTTATACCAGTTTCTGCCAACTCTTTTTGGTTAAAATCATGCTATGTGAATATCATTTGAGCTCTTAAAGATTTCTTCAACAAAATAATAATTACAGAAAATACGTATATCATACTTTATGATATTGAAACTTATAACACTATTACAACTTTAATGATATTTGCATTATATGACAGCATGATAACAACAACTCTCTGTTTTAAAAAGAAACAATTTGATTATTTTGTTTCAATTTCTTTTTGTATTTATTTTTACTAAACCTTTTACTGAATGTCAGCCTATACTTTCAAATCACTGAAGCTCAAATTAACCTTATATGTAATACTTTTTCAGGAAGCAATATGCTTAGGGAAAGAAATGCAAAATGGATAAATAATTTATGGGTTAAAAAAACAGTTTCCCCTATAAAGGCGAGAAAATTCTCAGAAACACAAAATAAATCCTTATCCTGTTACCAGCTGTGGATAAACACTCAGGTTTATCCAGTGCTGGGAATCAGCAGAGGATGTGTAATATGAACATCCACCTGAAGAAAGTCTTTTTGTTTTGAGCCATTGTAGATCAGCAAAGGTATTCAGAGTCTGCTCCCTCAGGTGCGCAGTGTGGGGTAGTTACACTTTTCTCAAGCTGTTCTCAAAACTAACGATGCCTCACCACATAAAAAGCCTGAGATACAGTAAGACAAGGGTGACCAGGCCAACACTGATGCAACAGCCAGGTTTTTGCTGGCCAGCTTGATTCTTAGATTTCTTTCCCGATAAATAGCTTCATTGTTCACCAGTTTTATATCTAAAGGGCAAAAAGACATAAAACAGAAAATATGTTCTTTACTTTATGGAAGTCTTTATTTACATAAACTTAAAATATAAAATATAGATTAAGGATGGGCTTTGTTTATAGATGTTGGAGCTTGGCCTGTTTTTTTCAGTGTAGTCCTGTTTCTCTATAGCCTCTTTCTCACTGAAATTAGTGGGTTAACGTAGGTTTTTTCAAACCCAGGTCGACTCGCTAACAATCTGTATTTGGCTCCCTTCCCATTGGCAAAAAAAGCTGGGTCTAACCCCTCGCTGAGAGCTATGTGGCCTCTGTCCTCCACAGCTGTGTGGCTGGTGACACCATCAAGCTGGTTTAGTCGTAATGAGAATCAGAAATTAGATGATATCTGCTGTGAATTGGCGTTATATGAATAACCTGAATTTAAAGGATGGTTCATCATATAAAGCACCACAACTCCCCCATAAATATGATACCAATTTCTAGCTTTCTTTTATTTTACTTTGCTTATTGAAATATTTTTTTTTTTTTAGAACTAAAACTTCATTTTGAAACAGTGCTTTGTAGTAGAATTGGCTTTAAATCCAACTTAAAATCAAAGAATTAGGAAACTAGAATATGAAAGATATGCATCAATGCTTATGTTTCTAACTTGTATCTGTGTTTTAACAATGTAGAAGAAATGCATCGGGGGTTTCTAATTTTGAATCACAGATTGAGTATAATATATACATATATTCGTAATATCTGACCTGCCAAATTCTTTTTAAAATCTGCTGAAAGGATAGAAGAGTAAATCAGATTTTTTGCATGATTTATCTGGTGCTTCTCTGTTTGGAAAATCCAATATCTACATTCCTGTAGCGCTAAGGAAAGCTGCATAAGCTCCGGTTATATAGGGTTGCATATTTTCTCAAAGAAAATCCTCTATGGCATTAAATGCCAAATACGCAGCGCGGAAACCCCGCCTACCAATCACCCCCATTTAAGATGAAGCTTGCTGGGGCCTCACACCCAAGGTTTAGGGTTTATGTGTCTTTAAGAGTTCTTTTAAAGTTATGTTTTCACATCAAATGAGGGGAGAAGTACGGAAAAGGATTAGGGCCACTGAAAAAAAAAAGTTAACTAATTTTATTTCAGTATAATATGACAAAAAGTCAGAATTCTGACTTTTTTCTCACAATTCTGACTTTAATCTCAATTCTGTTTTCTGACAGCTAACAAACATGCTAGCGTTAAGCCGTAGACATGTCTGTTTTAGAGATCAGCTCTCTTGTTTTAATCACCTTCTGCTCTTCCATTAATGAAATAGCATCACCGGGGACCCCTCTGACATGTAAAAAGTTGCCTAATTGCGTCATTTTTCACCAATGTGTTACTGGCCCTGCCAAAGTACTCACATCTTTGTCAGTGAAGCTGAGTGCTCCCATTCCTTTATGGTGCCAATTAAGATCCACAATTCTGAGATTAAAGTCAGAATTCTGAGAATAAAAGTCAGAATTCTGAGATTAAAGTCGTAATTCTGAGAAAAAAAAGTCAGAATTCTGAAATTAAAGTCGTAATTCTGAGAAAAAAGTCGGAATTCTGAGATTAAAGTCAGAATTATGAGAAAAAGGTCGGAATAACTGAGATTAAAGTAAGAATTTTCAGATTAAAGTCAGAATTCTAAGAAAAAAGTCAGAATTCTCGGATTAAAGTCAGAATTCGGACCTTTTTCCCATATTAAACTGAAATATAATTTAAAAATCAGTTACCTTTTTTTTTTATTGTCCCTAATCCTCTTCCTTAGGGGAAGTTATGATTCCACTAAAACAAGGGGAATAATAAGAATTGTCTTATTTTATCCTATATGGTAAGTTAAAATGTTAACAAGAATTGTTATGGGAACCACTATCACTGCTGGTTTTAATTCTACTGTAATAAATATGTAGGACAATAATAAATATAGATTAGCAGCACATTTATTGTGTTTTCTTTCCCTCTGTGCTCCAGCAGTGGCCTGCCTGACTGCAGTTCTGCTCTCCAATGTGAAGGAGTCTTCCTCACATGTGAACGGGCCGCGCGCTGGCCAATGGCAGCAGTGATGGCGGTCATCACGTTCCTTACCTTCTTTACGGACTTCAGAGTCGGGACTGCGGTAAATGCAGCAGAGGGCATCTCTCCAACATTCATGTTCACATCGCTGCTGTTCTTGCTGACGGTCAATGCGGAGTATTTCTCCGCGACGTTTTCCGTCTCTTTGACATATTTAGTGGCCTGCTTGACCTCCACTTTGCTGTCCACTGCCGTGTCTGTCATCGCATCCGACTGAGAGTTGATACAGGAGTGGGTTAAAAAAAAAGCCGGCTTTTAGTGGAGTTTTAACTAACGTTAGCTCCGTCCGTCGCCGTCTTTGCTCTTTGGTAAATGGGCTTAAAATGAGCGAAACGCGACAGAATGACTAGATGATCTATTTGAAGAAAGAGAGGACGTTTAGGTTAAGTTTACTGTGTTGATCTGTTCTCTAAAACAGCCGCAGAGGCAGTTGCTGGTCCTGCGTTGTGCTGTCAACCTCAGACTGAAGCATCTCTGAGGGGAGGGGGTGGTAGGCTCAGCCTGTCACCTGAGGAAGTAGGCTGTGTTCAGACAGCGCTCCTACTGCTGGAGGGAAACTAGACCGAAAAGAAACAAATGAGGTCGTATTCGCCAAGACTTCAACGTATCTACGCTCTAATAAGCCGGTGTCAGCTTGCATAAAGTACACGTTAGTCCGCAGAAGCAAGCGTGACCGTTGTCAAGGAGGCTGAGAACAAGTCCCGCCTCTTTCGCTGTGATTGGTTGACAGCGGGCTCAATTTAGCCAATCCGTTGTTTCTGATTGGCTGCGCATTGTTCTGCTTAAAGGGTCCTGTACAGGGATAGAACAAAAACACATTAAATTTCTTAGTTGCTCCCTATTATACTTTTATCTTTAACATTGGACCTTGAAGTAGGGTAAACGGGTGGAGGTGGAACAGTAGAAGTCATTTCCATAAAAGCAAACATATATGTATCTACCATCCAAGGGCAAATCTTGCAGATGCATTGTAATCTATTAGGCTAATTACTCTTATTCCCTGGTGTTGTTGAGAAACTTTCAGGATGTCATTCTGTTTGAGAAGAGATTTATTCTTTAAATTCATTAATTTAAATATACAAATGAAATACTGAATAAAAACAATGGAAAAAAGTGGTTAGAAATAAAAATTGAAAAATTAGGGAAATGTGTTTTCTTTGAAATATATTAGATATTTGAAATTGTTTTAACCCTGATGCTGTTTTCACAGCCAATGTCTTGATCTGTTTTATATGTACACCACATGCTCAAAATAAGCTGGGTGAAGAAGCAACTCCTAGATGAGAGTTGTAGCATTATTTTCTGTGGCTTTTATTTATTTATAATTGTAAAACATCCCAATAGCCTAATCAAACTTGAATAAGTCTGTTAGGGCTCTTCGTGTAGCACCCCATGCTCTTTTTCCCCTATGACCCTAGGAGTCCTAAAGATCACCATGGGTTGGGAAGAGTGGAATGATCTAAATTTATCACAAAATCAGATGCATATCAAATTGTGTTTTTGTTACTGAACAAACCATTTACTCAAGACAAAGATACAATTTATGATGTAATTACTCTCCCATTCACCATTGCATTGCAGGATAAAATTTCAGTGTCCTGCAAGATAAAATATTTGCAAACCTGATTTTAAATAGGTTTTGCAATTTCTCATCAAATCCCATTTTCTTTAACATTTTCTAATGAAGTCAGGAGAACAATAATTGCACTGATAAACCTTTTAGGACTTAAGATAAGATAAATTGAGCCAAACACTGCATGATCCATTAAAGATAAACCTTTAGACAGCAAACCTAGGAGTTTGGGGTTCACCTTCTCCTATAACAAACATACTATAATTAGATTTAAATGCTGATTGCAAATATAAATGTTTCCAGATAATTGTAAATATAAAAAGCATGTCCTTATGTACCATGTGGTATCATATAACAGCCCAATACCCTAAATACATATGGTTTTAACGTTCCTAAATAAAATATACAAATGTTTTGAGGGCTGAGAATCCTTTTGCGCGGAACTTCATGTCTTTTAATTGGAGTGAAAATGTACAAAAACCCTGTTTTTTTCTCAAGGCTTCAGAGGTTTCCGTATTTGTTCTCTAAAGAAACAAAACAGAGTTTTTTACTAAAATTTTAATTGACAGGTTTTTATGAAGACAATGTCATTTTCACAATTATATAAAAAAATATTAACATTGATGCTTCCTGATGGATAAAAATCTTTATCTACAAAGAAAAAAAAAAAAAAACACCTAGGTGGACTTACAGAAAGAAAAAAAATCCTCAACTCTACATGAATGAAGTGTGTAATACAAAGAAACACTATTTTTTCCAGCAATATCCTACGTGCAAATATAAACTGAATACAATGCATCCACAAAACCTGCAAGGGGAACAAAAGTTCTTCTTTACGTCTTCACATTACTATCACATCTCTGCAGTACTATGTACTATGCAGCCAGACAAGTCCAAAATGTACATGGGTTTAAATAGTTTGTTATTTTTCTTTAAACAAAGAAGAAAACAATAAAAAAAAATGGCAGGGGAGAATAAAATAAAAAATGCTTCAGAAAAAAAAAGAAATTGTACCATTTATACAAATCTGAAAAGTGTCTGACAAAAAAGCAACTTTTTAACAGACCAAAGTTCTGACAGAGTATGGCTTCAGGACTGTCTTTTCCTCTGTGGGATGTGTTGCCAAAAAGAGATCCTTTTCGTAAAAACAATAACCAATCTTGCTTCGGGGAACATGATAAGATCCTCCATTAATGGAAAGACTAGAGAACCCCCCTGGCTCAGCAGTGACACAGCCAGCTCCCAGGAAGACCGCTGAAGATAAAAGAAAAGCCCACAGTGAAAGCTTTGCTGTGTGTGTTGAGGTGGAGAGGACTAAAGAAGAGCATTTCAGATGGTTAGCTGGGAAGAAGAGTCTCAGGTCCCGGTGTTTGGGTAAATGCTACGACACTCTGATCATCTGAGTCACTGTCTCGTCTGGGGCTGCGGGGGCTATTTCCTGCTGCAAAAGAAAGACAAAAAACCATATTGTGAGGACTTTTAACGAGGGTCTCTAGTCATTTTATTTCTAAATTCAGTATTTTTCCACAGTCAAATTTAGGGACACAGTTTTCACAACATTCTGCATATGAGCAGGAACATTTAAGTTTCATTATAAGGATTTTCCTAAAATCCCCGATCATCATCTATACAACTGTACAAATGGGTTATTGAAAGGGTTCTTACAATTTCTAGTTTTTTTTTCTTTCATCTTAGGCTATGGCCAGTCTTCCACCATTACCCCTCAATCACTATATACAGTAGAGCGGTATAATATAGTGGACTTTATAGTGTACTCAGTTAACTGACACCTGTGCTATCTTTATCTAACAAATCCCATGATGCTATTACAAAGCATTCTGAGATATATCTGCTCGTCTAGTGACCATGAATGCATATTTTACGTCCCTACCTTGAAGTTTTAAATAAATCACATACTAAATATGGAAATGTGCACTTATGTAAATATATATATAAATATGTGAATAAACTTTGTAAATGTAATCATTTTAAATATAAATATATATATAAATATGTGAATAAACTTTGTAAATGTAATCATTTTAAATATTAAATAGCTCTAAAACAGCCCCTAAAATTGCATTTTCTTCTAGTCCTTTCCTCATGATGACCAAGTTGTAAATTGGATAACAGATTAAATAAGTTTTAATATCCATTTTTTTGGTATAATTTTGTTTACATATATTTCCTGTAATTATGAAGAAATTCCTTTAAATATATGAAATATTATAGTAATTCTGCTCTAGTTGTATCCCTCATTGTACATGCATTCTCCTAAGACAATTTAAACCGCCTGGAAGAAAAGAAAGGGAGGCTGGTAACATGACTCAGCAGAAATGATATCATCAAGTTGATAGCACTGATCAAGGAAAGCTGCAAGCTAGGTCCTCCCTTCTACTATTATTCAGATTTTCTCAATGTTTTCCAGTATAGTGGAGTGCATCACTCAAGGCAAGGCATCACTTCTGATACATTTGTCATTAAAATAAATATTACTATCATTTTTTTTTTTTTCAAGCCAAGTTTCATACTAATCAGTAAAGCAGCTAACACTGCTAGCATGAACTTTTGAACACAAGCATTGATTTTCAACCCTGTTACTTTTTTTGTTGTACAACAGGGCTTCATCTGTCAGGAAAGACAGTATATAAAAACTTCAATGTGTTTCTTTAAATTCTGTTTAAAATGTTTGACTTTTTGTTTGTTTATCTACAGACAGCAAACAACTTTCTTTTTTCTTTCCATCACGTGTTGTAACATCTTCCTGGATGGTAGGATTGACTTAAAATGGATACAGTTGTGTTTTGTATATTTTCATTAGTTTTAAAGCCATTTAATCCTAATTTAATTGATATATCCAGTATTCGTGTACATTAATGATTACTGCTGAAATACAGAAAATAGCATTCTTTAAACTATTGCACTAAATTGTCCTCAAATCCTAGAATGAACCGTATGTATTCAGGATACAAGTGACATAATTACATGTTTAGGTATGTGTAACTCTACAGACACAATTACATTGTTTTTTGTAAAACTGTATACAAAGAAAAAAAAAAACGTACCTTATAACTATGCTATTAATACTATTTTATTTTATTTCCGTTTCCTTCTCTCCATGTTTGGAAAATGACGACATATAGTTCATATTGTCCTGAGCAGATGCTTCATATAAATGACAAGCTGTAATTTTGAGGTTTGTTCTATTTTAAATGCATCGTTTTTCTACCCATCATAACTTCTTACTTGTGATAGGCCTAAAGCTGCCTCTTCTTTTTCTTTAGGGGAAAAGAAACGCCCTCCGTCTCCACGCTTACGCTGCATAGCATGACGATGGCGAGACTCGTGTAGGTATTTCTGAAAGAGACAAAAAAAATATTAAAACGTTTAACTCTAATTACACTACAGCTCTAACACCAACTCCTAACTCTAAAACGTCGGTCCCAAACACCAAATTCAACCAGAAAAGGTCCCTAATAGACATTAAAAACAAATAAAAAACAAAGTGCTTTAGCAACCATTCACCTTCTTTTAGCATTTTTTTCCCCATTTATTCCATATATTATCTTACATTTTAAATTTTAAAAAATCAAAATAAGAAACCAGCATTGCAGGCTGCATAACTAACAAGCAATATGTCGTACTAAATTCTACAACAGTGGAAAAAGTCTATGTGGGTGGTTGGTACTTTTTAACTCAAGGCACAATGCTAAAAAAAGGTCCAACTTGGCAATGCTTTAACGGGATTCTAACACATGACAGCTCACATCGTACAAACAAACCAGAACTGACACTGCTGCCAATATAAACCAGTAGAGACAGTTTTAAAATAATTAAAAAGCCCCCGTTTTTCCAGCTGCACCGCCTACAGTAACAACTGTTTATTTGTGTGTTTTCCTTTTTTTAAGTGAAACTAAACTGTATACGTGTTCATAGATCTTCTACAACAAACATCCCATACCCTCCTCTCCTTGGGGATCTTGCCCTCAGCCTCCAGCTTGGCCCGGGCTTGTCTTCGCTTCAAAATACGATGGTATTGTTTGGCGTTAACGTACAGAGGCTCCTCCTCCAGCATTTCTGCACCTGGAAGGGGGATGCGCTGCATCGTGGGAACGCTGCCGCCTCCTGGCACCATCTAAAAGATGAAACAACAGAAACCAGAAAAAAGCCATGAAAAACCTGTATGTTTATGACAACATACTGACAAATAAGAAGTTAAAATGTCACCTAAATCAATCAGTTGATTCAATCACATGATCAATGAGCTGATTACCTGATTACTGCTTTTAAACGAAGGATTATCAATTATCTATACAAAGGCAACAGGGTAGGGAAGGTGCGACAACTCAGTGGTTAACTTAAATTATCCAGACCATATTGCAAACGATTCAATCAACCTGTGTGACAAAACCACCAGCCGCTGCTGCTCGTTTCCCCAAACTCTGCACCCTTGTGTCAGTCTAGATGTAAAAAGAAATAAAGATGCTGAGTACCTCTGCACTGGGCCTTACCATGACCATTCCACCTGCATTGACCATGTTGCCGGAGACAGGCAGGGTGACGGTCACAGTGCCTTGGCCGCTGTTGGTAGTATTGGTGTTGGCGCCCCCTGCTGCTTGGACTATCTGGGCACCTGCTAGGCTGGCAGCGGGGATTGTGATCATTCCTACAGAGAAAAAAAAAAATCGTCACAGACATGTTTAAATTCACAACTTAAAAAATAAATACATGTGGTTGTAGTTAAAACATTAAAAAAAGAAAGAGAAATGTACCCTGCTGTAGAACAGAACCATCTGCATTGACGGGCTGGTAGACGATGGTCTGTCCGTCTGCTGTCTGTGCCACCTGTTGCCCCTGCACGCTGATCTGCTGGCTCTGGTTTACAGCATAAAGATGTTAAACAATGACACTCCCTGTCCTAGTTTTTACCTTTTTGATTAATTGGCAGTATATTGATTTATCTTTAAAAATATAATAAAATTTGCTTTGTCATGCAATACTTCCACACTATTAATGATCAAATTTGCTAGTATGGGGTCATGCTAAAATTTGAACCTTTCATACTTTCAGAAAAGCTAAAATATTTTCCCAATGGTTTTATGGCATAAAGTTTATTTAATGAGATGATAGAAGGTGAAATGTGCTGCCCCTCCCCCACATGTTGTGCTAAACTACCAGTCAATTAGCTATTAGAAAGGACAATTATATTTGTTCAGTTACTGGAAAAAGAATTTCAGCTGCTTGGAAATATTTTCATAGAAAACAGTCAAGTTGCATAAACAACAAGAGTGCTAGCCTCCTTAGCTATTAAGGTACGTATTTTAGAGCCATGTTCTCTGCATTAAAACTTTAAAATTAATATTAAATTCAGTTTGTGTTAGCGAATTAAAAACATACAAACATAATTTAAAGATGAACAGAAATTTGTATACATCATCAAATCAATGTTTTTCGACCAATAAGGGATATTTTGTGATTTGTTATCCTCACACCAGTCCAAACCCCACAGACACCCAGACACAAAAACAAGTGTCAACTGATAATATGGAGCTTTGCATCATGAACACAGCAGCATGGTTAATAAAGAAAAAAACAGGCTGCCATTAAACCCCGACTGTGAGACTCTGCCTATAAAGCGGTATCAAAGTTGCTAATATAGACTTGATAACATTACAGACCTGGTTTTGTCCGGCTGTGATGGCCGTCTGGGGCTGCTGGATGATGATTTGCTGAGGCTGACCCTGCTGACCCTGGAGCTGAAGAGTCTGACCGCCTTGCAGCTGTATCTGACCAGGCTGTACCAGCTGGATCTACGGAGACAGAGAATTCACCATCAATGAAAAAAAGGTCTCCATGACCAAAACAAGCATAACAAATAACTTTACATCCTGCAGTAAGAAGGGTCGTTTCAAAACCAAGTGAAACTCCATATCGATACCCAGGAAAATATGTAATACTTGCTGCCATAGGGATAAAGAAATGACTCATAATTAAATGCAAAAAAAAATATTTTCATCATCATAAAAAACTCACCTTTTTCAGTCTCAACACAAAACATACTTTCTCATCAGAATCAAAGATGTTGAATAAAAGCGGACACACAAACAAGACTTTAGTATCAGTGCTATGCTAATTAGCATTATATCCAGAAACAGCAATCAAGAATTGATATTTTTCTGAGCATCGATAATTTTCTGTCAACCCTAGTAGCAACATTTGGTGGTTAAACCTGATCACCGGTCTTCAGGAAGGAATAAATGACTCGTCATTTACCTGCTGCAGACCTTGAGCTCCAGACACAGGAACCTGCATTATGGTCTGACCCTGACCCCCTGACATGGCCTGCACCATGATGGGCTGCCCTGAGGATGTGATGAGCTGTCCGCCGCTCACCTGTACCATTAGAGGCTGTCCCTGCACCTGCAGAGAGGCACACAGAGCTGTTAAAGCAGCTGATGGTCCCACAGACACATGCATGAGACTTATAGGGCTGCGTGCAAGGGAAACAAACATAAGTTACACTAAACCATAAATAAAGCTGTTGTCACTCGTGCAATATTCTTCTCTCTCCCTGTGCAATAACACATGCCAAATACTGTGTAGTGTGTGTATTTCTTTTTTTTTTATTATTCATAAGGTCTGTACATCTCTGCAAGTGCAATAATCCAAGTCAACAAGTGTGCAGTCTTTCCTAAGCTCTCTAATGTGCAGATATTTTTATATCTAAAGGAAACATATTCCAGAACATTACAGTTTTTTATGCTCTTTTGTACTATATATACGCTCTTTTTTTTTTTTTTTTTTTTTTTTTTTTTTTTCTTTAATGGCATCTTTTTTCTCTATATAAGCTACTGGACCCAGAATTTCCCTGAAGGAGTAATTCCTTGGGGATGAATAAAGTTGAGTTTACATGTAAGTTAATTCAATCTGTGTATTAAATGACTTCAAAAACATCTCAATCCACAAACATATGTATATATATATAAGGCTACATACTATCTTTAAAAACTCTAGATTAGTTTTGATAAAAATTAATGTAAGAATTCACAAAGTTTGAGGCTATTGGAGGATAGACTGAGATACAAAACACAGCTCTAATGAAAGCCAATTTATTTGTAATATAAATTGTTTTTTCTCTTTTTAATGTTACTGAACATGTTAGAAAAAAGTCTGCATGCTTCCCCTTTATCTGTGTAGATTGTAAGACAAAAAGTGTGTAAATGTAAAAAACTAAAATGGTTTCACTCGCAAAAGTAAAAAAATAAAAAAAATGCAGCTTTAGGAAGGAGACGCGTCACACAGTAAAAAATAAAATGAAGCCTGGGTTAAAATGCAAGAAGGCATTACAGAGACATGGTCATTACAGCTATGAATGAGTTGCAGCTGGGCAAGAAACAGCTGATGCAGCTTTTTTTTTTTTAATGCTCGACTCCACCAAGTTCATTTCACTCATGCTTCCAGCAGCACATGGATTCAAAACAAGAACTTTCTGAACTTGTTTTTTTTGTCTAAAGCAAAGACAAATACAACTTTAGACCGACACACTGGTCTTATTTCTGTTCGCTCTTTTCTTTCACAGCTATAAGAGGAAAGGCAAACGATGAAGGCTGGCAAACATGAGGCACTGTGAGGTGGAACATGCAGGAAACACTTGAGGGAAAGATGATGGACCATACAGCACAGACAGGTCATGAAAACAGCCCTGGGTACGGCATGCAAACAAGTCACTTATTAGGGGTTTACTGAGGTGACAGGGCGGCTGTGACACCACTACCTGGAGTGTCTGCACCTGCTGGCCTTGCGCCTCTGCTTGCAGCTGCACAGCCGTCACTGTGCCCTGTGTCTGCAGGCAAGGCAGGACATCACACTCAGAGAAAAACTTCAAACCTTCAAAGATTTCTGCTGCAGTGATATTTGTCTTCTGGTTGGAAATAATTACAACATCATCAAGGGAAATATGACATTTATACTGAGCAATAGGACTACAATGTAGTCTTTGGAAAATAAACAACTCTAGCTATCCGAGTTTTTTTTTTTCCCCCTGCAGACGGCCTGATGATTGTCACTACAGTGTTTTCGACAAATTCACCACATTTTAGCCCCCAGCTGCAAGAGGATCCTGAAAATCCTTGCTACCAGCAGGTCAAATCCAGTTAGAAATAAATCCCAGGTAACTTCATCTAACTAAAATTAAAGATTAGATATTAGCGTACACATCAAATAATCTGCAGAAAAAAACAAAAATAAGGAAGAGTTTTAAAAAATTTTTGATTTTAAAAATATATACGGTACAAGTGATAAAGAAATCAGGGGATCAGGTTAGTCGGATGCAAAACAGTATTTCATTATTATTGAAAAAAAAAAGTTCTGTGGTCATTTCACCCCCCATGCTGTTACACAGTTTTAGTAACCTTGGTAACAACAGACGTTTCATACAAACATACCAACAAAGCATTGAACCCACAAAAACAACCGATGATTGTGAGAAGATAAATGAATACTAGTTACAATCAGGAAATTATGTTCTGGGACTGATGGATCATTTTTAGCAGTAGGAGTTATTTGCATACGTCTCTATTTACTAAAACAGAATCACAATCAGTGGCGAATATTTAACTGCAATAGTTATAGTATAAACCTGTTTAATACAGTAATCACAATGCATTGCTAGAAAAAATATTAATGATTAAAATTCCTGTGTGCTCTAGGTATTGATAATAGATGAATATTGGCCCAGGTAGCTGGATTCTAAGGACCATTTTAAGGGCAACACCGAAGCTCAGAGGAAAATAGTCAACAATTTAGCTGACATCAACATTATCCACATATTTTTATGCAAACATATGGCAAATAACACATTTCCCGATGTTTTCCATTCTTCAGAGGAGTGCACAGAGAAGTCCCCTATGAAGACATTCATTGTTTTTTTTTTACTGACAATGATGGATATTGCAAATCAAAAGAACTGAAAATGTGGCAAAAATAATACACGTTTTTCGAGGAATATTAAAATAAATTCAGAAAGATGCAACAGACATTGAAAATAACAAACTTGCTCACTCATCTGTTACTTCATAACAAAATTCCCAAGTGGAAAACACAAATTCTGCATCAGATTTGATAATGTTGTGTTAGGATAATCTTTGAAGATGAGTGAGTTTATTACACCCTGGTATTGGATGACTATTGCATGTCAGAACTGATGTTTTGATCTAATTAGGACAGCTCCTCTCTGGATATACAGTTATAATCTTCATTCTGTACGTGGCAAAGATTTGGAATGGAATGGGAGCAGCGTCCTTCAGCTAAGAACACAGTGTAATATTTTTGATAAGGCTGGAGACATAGATGTCCAATTATCTGCCAATGCGTATGATGTAAAATATGATGATGTGACAGACTGGAGATGTATAAAATGCCTTTTTAACTGTTAATTGGGGCCACTTCCTGGGAGGCAACAGCTGTAACTCTAAGTAATTTCTCCAATCTGAGTAAGATTACAATTTCTTTCAGAATCTGTTGTCATGTTTCCTGGTTATTTAATACATATAAGTAATGAAGTGTTATTTGGAGAGATAGAGCATCAGGGTGCATACACAGAGCCTATCTTTAACAGTTTAAAATATGCTTAAGGTACATGTTAGTAATTATAAGAAACATGGATCTGACAAGCTTAAGGCTTCTCTTATCTGACATTGTTCAAACTGTGGGCTCACCTGCTGCTGGATCTGTCCATTAGCAGCCTGCACAACGATCTGCTCCCCAGCTGTAGTGGTGGCAGTGGTGTACTGCTCCATGCTTCAATCTGCTCAGCCCTCCTGAGACAAAGACATGTACAGTTATACAGTCAGCAGCAAATCCACGTCACAAAAACCCTCTAATCCTAACAGATATTACACACATCAACATCAAAATTAGATCTTTATGACTATGTTCTAGTAAATTTAGTCCTTTATTTAATTTCAATGCATTGTGGGTGCTTGAATTTTAGCATGAAAAGCTTATTTATGATAATTATATTTAAAAATGTATCTCGGGCATATCAAGATATCTGGGGAAACGTAGGGGCAAGAGCTGGGTTATATTTCTGCTGATTTTGGTCGCTGCTGTAATAATATGGGGCTAACAAAGCTACCGTCAGAGCTAGCTGGGAGCTTGATGGTAAATTCTAGAAAGAACAAAATGGATGCTCGCTATCTTCATGGGGTAAATAGGCGTTTTGTTGCTTTTTTTTTTTAAATGGGAAGTTAATTTTTTTTATGTAAACTCGGCTTCGTATGCGAAAGCCGCTTTATTTAACGCTTATTTTAGCACAAAAGCTAACATTAGAGCCGCAGAGAGCTCATGTTTCCCCCGCAGCAGCCCAACA